CACCTGAGAGGATGCTGTTGCCATGGAAACCCTGCAGTATAACCATCATTGAGATTAGTTTTTAAGGAATAAGTATTCTTTTGTAAATTCAAACATAATGCATAGACAGTAGTTCTATTCTCTTACTTAAAAACAGAAATAGTTTATGTGTAAATGAAATTACTTGCAGTAGTTATTTCTTGGAAATCAATACAATCATTTAGCATATAATAAATAATTAGGGATCCCAAACATAAAATGTCATTTAGGTGTGCTGTAAACAAAATTATAGATTAAGCATTTTCATTTCACATTATGTACTTAAATGTGATACCTGACACTAAAATGCAACCTCCTTATTTTTCGAGTCATTTCAATAACTGCTGAAGAAGGTATCAATGAATACTTTGAAGAATAATACATGCGTATTGACTTTAGATCTTTCACTGGGCTTGACTTAAGATTGCTGTGAATCGTCTCGACTCCAGTGGAACTCAACTCAGACTCCAGAACGTGGCGCTAGGGACTCAAACTCGACTTGACTCGAAATTTTTCAGGCTCCTCTTGGACTACAACAATTGTGATTTGACTCCGACGCTTCACGGAAAAAAAGACAACCAATCAGTGATATGGATGAAGGAAACATTTAAGATGTTTCTTGGTAACCCCGGATACAAAAAGATTTAGTTTTGCTTTAGACGTATTTCAATGAGCTCGATTTATCTGCTTAACCATCTCGACTGTAGGAACACCACCTTCGGTCAAGATCAGTAAGGACAAAGCCATCGCAGCCTCCTAAAGAGCTGCTGCAAGAATGATTTGTCACTGAAGGGAGGGATGAAAGGGACAAATATGCACAAAGAGGTTTTAGAAACCCACTTGGGTGAGCAGAAGGTAGCATGATTTTGGGTTGTCCTCCTGTCAAACCTTTATTTAAAACTCCATTAGGTGCTGTCCAAGGGGTAAGCAGAGATGCAGAGGACACTGGGCTGGATGTAGTACCCCAAACAATAGGGGGCAGTGGGTTGAACATTTTCTTTGGTAACTCACTAGATAAACTATTCTAATCATTTCCCGTGTTAGGAGGACTGGAATTTGGTCGGAGAATACCCACAGTACATTTCTGCGCCATGGGCTCAAGTCGAGACCTGGGACGCTATCTGTTTTTAGGTTTTATGCTCTCCCTGTGTTCAAGTGGGTTTCCTCTGGGTGCTCTGTTTGCCTTCTGCAGTCCAAAGACATACTGATAGGTTATAGGTTACTGATAGGTTAGGCTTCTGGAAAACGTGGTCCTAGTGTGAGTGTGTGTGTTCATGTGTTCCACCAAGACTGTATTCTGCCTTGTGCCCTTTGCTTGGCAGGTTAGGCCCTGGACCCTGTACTGGATAAAGTGGGTAGAAAATAGATGGAATACCTAAATTTCTGTCCACGTTCACAGATTGGTACTGACAAAATTTTCGTTTATAGGCCACAGTTTTAGCTATATTGCTTAATTCTCCTTCATAGTTTGT